GTCGTGTCCTGGCGATCCAGGACCTTGACCTCCCGCGGCGCGGCGCCGCGTGGGAAAAAATTCCCCGGAAAATGGAAAAATGCTCGGATTTCCTCGCTCCCTCGGGAAATCGTGCAGGGAACATCTCTCCGGGTACGCGTATTTACCGGAGCTAGATAAATTCATTGTTTGGAAATTTATTTTAATAATTAATCGGCGCGAGGCGGTCCAGCTTTAATGGCCGAGTCTCGCTTTGGGGAAGGCTCTCGAAGAATCCTTAAAAAGGGCAACACACCCCCGATCGAGCGCCGGCGCAAACGTTCATTAAAATTCTAAAGCACTCCCCAGGAAGGATGCCAAATATTTGCTCCACTTCCCGGTGGAATTATTAATCCTTCGGGGTCGGGCTCGCGCCCTTACGGATTGATTCCGCCGCTGGAAGGCGCGCTTAATCGAAAACCTGGCCGAGTGCTTCGGGAAAATCGAAAGGACCCTTTGGGGGCTGAAAGTCGAAGGATCCCGGGATTTTCAAAACGCTCCTGTCGAATCCCGCTTTATCCCGACGTGGCATGGGATGGTTCGGTTAACCGCATCGTCCCGTGCTCTCCAGCTAGCCTAGCAACGCTATTGATTTCCTTCATTCCCCTCGGGACAGAGAACTATATCACGGAATTTACTATCTCCTTATCCGGAGGAGGTTTTCGCCTCGTCAAAAATAATAAATCCAACGTGAGACATCGCCAATCGTTTCCCAAAAAAAAATTCAACGAAAATTTCGAGATCCAACGCGGCGGAGGAATTCCCTAAAATCATTTCGTAATCGATTAAGACGATCATTTCATAGAATAATAATCACCGTATATATGGAACATTTTCCAAAACGTACCTAATTTATAACCGACTCTTTCCGACCTTTTCCACAATTTTCTCTCCTTTCTACCGTTTTATATCCTGGGCAAGGATATCTTTTCTGATTTTCTCCTTTCCTGATTTTCCTAAATTCAAATCCAATCCTGAAAGGCTTAAATAGGTCCCCTAAAAATACGACTCTGATTCCTTCTTCGATCGTGTTCCCTCAGGCTATCCTCTTTAGGACCATCCGATTCTTCCCGTTTATTATTACATAGTCCTTGGAATAAGTATGCAATTAATATTGAGGATGTACGTGGGATTTTCAAAGGATAGCTCATTGAGGAAGGCGTCCGACTTTTCGCCGAACCTGCTTCCCTGTTTTTGGGAAAATGGAATATAATGGATCTCAAAGATATCGTAATTGACTCGAATGTTTGCGACTCGATAATTCGAGGTCCTCCCTCGGGATAAGCCGTGGATAATAAGCCACGTTACGTCGAGCCCGAAGGAAGGTGGCCTTCGGCTTCGAGAGGCTCCTGTGTATCCCGAGCATGGCAAATGGAGCATCGCATCCAAGTGGAGTCAATGATCGAGAAAGTCGCAAGGACGTTCGTCGACTGATCGACCAGGCGCGAGATTGAGCGAGAGATCGAGCGATCCCGGTCGATCGTCTCCCTGGATCGGCCGACTTCTTCGGCTTTTCCCGCCTGAACATGGATGACGTTTTCATCTGCACTCTTCAATGTTCTCGATGACAATTTTTCTTCAGCCTCAAGTGCAATCTTATATATCTCTATATATACTTGCATGCCTGTGGGAATGCTTTTTAGTAAATATTATTATGTACTCACGTCTAGGAGAATGATTTTTTATGAGACTGATATTCGTATCTTGTTAGGTCACGCCGAGTGAGAAACCGGAAATATTCCATTAAATAATTCATATCATAAGATAATTAATTCACACGGCTAAAACTGAGCGAGTATTAGTGTGGGAAAGCTGCGGCATCGGTATCTTAAATTATTGAGTTCCTATCTCTCTCTTTCTACCCAGAGACGTATCGATGTCGCGATTCGATCTCCGATGGGGAAGAGTCGGAATGTCATCTAACCCACTTCCGGTCGTCTCGCCGGTAAGACTAGTCGATTTTTTCGATCCATTGAAAATAGACTTCATTCCATTCTAACCTAGACCTCGATAATCGTTTCGCTATCTCCTTGTCTTCACATAAAGATGAGGTGATCGATAGGTAGCGATTTTGGAAATTAATTCCTTCAGGTAGATCGACAGGCTTTTTTGCATAATTGCATAATGCATTGCTCGAAGATGCAAATTCGTCGTAAAGGACGATTTGCGGATGAGAGAAATTTTCGAGTGGTAAAAGGGAAAGAAATGGAAGAGGGAGAAAACCGCATACCCCTGTTCCCTTAAAGAGGAGTTTTTACGGCAGAGCCGTGAAGAAAGTGTTACCGATCCCCAGAGGGCTCGAAATCGAGAGTGATCTCCTCTTTCTCTTTTCACCTTTCTCCGGGGTGATTCTTTCTTCGTCTTTCCCAGAGATTCGGGTCAAGTTCAGCGTCCGGCGAGCTCTGCCTCTCTTTTCTCTCTCGTAACTCGTAACTCGTAACTCTTTCTCCGCTCGCTCTTTCTCTTTCCTCGATTCTTTCTCTCTCGCTTGCCCTCGCTCTCCACCTCTCTCCCTCTCTCGCTCGCTCTCCTCGGCTTTGCTTATGCAAGAGGTATTACTCGTACTATTTCACTCCCACGTAGCCGCACGGTTACGTTTCAGTGTCAATGGCATTACCGCCTTACGAGAGCAGGTTCCTCGTTACCGCCTCGGTTCGCTGAACCGAAATCTTCTACTCAGGGGCAAGGTGAACCCTTCGGTCCTTCCAAGAACTTTAATATGTCATTTAATAAATAAAATAATGCCAAATGACTTCATCTTATTTCTAACGACGATACCGATTTATTGCAGTCAAATTCTCATGAGGTTTCGGTTCGTTGGACCGAAACCGTTTCAGGAATGAGATGAACCCTTAACCTTTATTGCTAATTAATTACAGGAATAAAATTATCATTAACCTGCACCTGTATCGTTTAAGAACATTTTAACCCCGCACTCCAATTTCCGAGCCAGAATATCATGGCAAAGTCTCGATTTATTTTTTCATTCCTTTCTAATGGATCGTGAATTGTGCAAAAGTTCGTTTAAAATTGTTGAAATAATTACCGGTAATAGCCGAGGCTCGGCCCGTTCGGGAGTGAGCCCAAGGGCCATGACACGGAGAAATTCCGCGTGTAATTAACAAAAAAGAAGAACCGCGACACAAAAGGGGGACGAAAGGTGGAGGCCGATCAGCCTCGCGACGAGTAATAACGATCCACCGAGTCGTCATCTTCGTGGCGTCAAAAGGCTCGATCCGATTTGGAATCTCGATCGCGATCTCGATCTCGATCGTTTTGGCAGGCGGTCCAAATCGGAGGAGATATTTGATACGGGGTTTCGATTTGGATATTGGTTTTCTTTATCGGGAAGTCGTGCGGCCTCTCTTCGCGGTAGATGAGAGGAGAATAAATCTCGAGAAGAACGGTTAATCGAGTCGAGAGGAGGAAGGAGAGGAAGAGACAAGGCCGCAGAGCTCTTCGCGTCCTCCGTGACGCGTCCCGTCTTAAAAAAAAAGAAATTAAATTAAAAACAAGGGAAATTAAAAAAGTGATCAATTGAACTATATCGATTAAGCGGATAACGGGCAGGGATGTATATTTCATGCGAAATGGATAATTCCTGGCGCAATTCGGCGGCTATCTCTGCTCCTCGCCGAGCCAATCGATCCTCTTTATCGAAGAGTAGACGTCTCGAGGACGATCAATCGAGAGAGCGGATAGGCAAGGTCGGAAAGTGTAATACGAGGCGGCATCGTCGCGACGCGTTCCAGAGTCTCGAGATGAGACACCGTATCGGCGATCGCATATCAGCGACCCGTTGCGTAACTTTCTCGGGTAGTGAAATTATACCATGGCAAACCCCCCGATCGATTCGAAAATCTCACCTAATCCGCTTACGCAGTTACTTCGCGGTTTACATTCGGCCGGTTTTTATCTCGACCTAGCGGTCAGTTTCGCAGGTCGCGTTATAATCGCGAGGTCGGTTTTCCACGGTTCCACGGAGTCAGCGCTGTGAGAAGCATTAAGGAACGGCGATCAGACCTCGACCTCAACCTCGATCTTCCGGTTTTGCGAGGCGAGGACGCGCGAGCCTCCCCCCTGCGACGATGCGCGCTCCTCGAGGAGCGGCGCGCGAATGCGCGCTGGAGCTCCACGTAGTCGGAACCCCGCGCATGCGCCGGTGCGCCGCGCAACGCCAACCTCCGACTCATCGCGCGAAGCCACTTCGAAATTTCGGATTCCCAGCCTCGGCAAGGTCTTCCGCGGAACGCGAGGTTACGAAAGATCCTTAAGGACTCGGATACGGATTAGAGAGGTTCGTGCTCCCTGGGAATTCCACGAGGACGCGTATTCCTCCAGTTCGTGTCGCCCGGTGCCGCTTGGACACGTACGATTTGCAGTAATCTAACGCAGTAAAAGTCCAGAAACACGGACTCACTCCGCCGACCTCTATCGGAAGTCCTTCCTCGAACTCGTCCCGGCGGCGTTGCACGATTCCTAGATATCCCCCTAGATTCCTTTCTCCTATCGATGCATCCAAGGCCCTAAGTACTCATGCACGTGCCCGGAGCGCTCCGGCTCCATCTGACGGGTCCTGGTTCTCATCCGAGAGCTCCGCACCCCCGATCCGACGAAGCGACCGGCTCGAGGGTCGGCGCGCGAATGCGGGTCCGCGCGCGTGCGCTCCGGCAGCGCGCTTGGCGGCCGGTGCGCGCGCACGCGAGGGTGTCGGCCGGGGTGCGCGCGGCGCCCCCCGTCCCGCTCCGGTTCCCGGTCCGGCGGGTAGCCGCGTTCCCGCGTTCCGTCGTTCCCGCGTCCAGCCGGCGGCCCGGGTAGCGCGGGAGAGCGATCCGTAGCCGCGGGCGTCGCGAGCTCCCCCGCCAATCAGCGGCCGCGCAGGAAGGTAGGGGCCGCGCCGCGGCCAAGGTATTTAAGGTACCGTGAACCGGCGGCGCACGAGTTCACTTCTGTTCGGTGCGGCGTCGCGAGAGGACCGCGCCGCTCTCTCTCGTCGAGGGTGTGAGTGACGTTTCGAGGGGTACCTCCCCTCCACGCCCGCTAACCCCGTCCGACTCCGCCTGAGGGTCGTCTCTCGGGTCCGCGCCCGGGAGCTCGCGCGACGCGCTCGACCGACGGGTCGCCCCTTGCGCGACCCCGCGACCCCGCGACCACTCGCGCGCCGCGGGCCCCCAAGGGGGTGCGTGATTGTCCCTTCTGGGTCGCCGCCACAGCAGGTCCCTCCCAGCAGCCCTGACCCTCGACAGGTAAGTCCGAGTGCCCCGACGAGGACCGGCCCCCCTATGGACTGCTCGGCAGTGGGTGGTGATACTTGTCAGTGACTCGACGAGCAGTGATTACCGATTCGCTAAACGATCGCCGTTACAATTATGGGACTTCTCCCTACAGTCGTTTCGATTGCGGTGGAACGATCCGCCGATACGGTCGTCACTGTAATCATTTAGATCATTACTGTGATTATATGCGTTTTAATCGTTTTAATCGTAATGATTGCAATTATCATTACGATTAAAACGATCGTAACGATTATCAACGAATTAATCGTTACACTTGTATTGCGGTTGTCGTAACGATTGGGACGATTGTAATTATTATACACGGTTTAATCGTCGTACTTGACGTAATGGGTTAATGGCGATGAAGGGGTGCACTTCGCTTTGGGATTTTCGGGGATCGTTAAGTCAGTGTGATACCTGGTGGAGGTACGGTCTACCCCCCCACTCGCTTTTGCCGTGCAAATCGGAAACGAGTGTGCGGCGAAGGCGAAATCCAGCGTTCATCCGAAACCACCGTGGTAACTATCGCGACGGATGATGCGACCGAAACGCTTAGGCCCGATTCGTTCGCCTATGGATGAGGTCCTCGGAGATAATGGAGCCCTTCGGTTATCCGTTATCGCGTGGAGTCCATTCTACGGTGGTATAATAGTCCGTAGATCGGGAATCGAGGCGCGGAGGAGAGTCGAACCGGCGACCTGATTCACACGGGCACTTCAGGTGGCAGAGGAGGCGATCGCGATTACCTTGGGATCGGAATGACCAGGAAGGCCTTAGCTACTCGGATAAGAGAGACAATCGATAATTACGGGTAATTAGCATCCGATTGTGCGGATTTGCAAGTCGGGCCATACGAAAGGTCGGACCGATTTTACTTCGGATCGTGAACTCCGGGTACTCGGGAGATGTCCGATCCAATCTGTAATCACTTTCCTGCAATTAGTGGACAGGCTTACTCGACTCCGTTGTCCGATAACGTACGAATCGATCGGGCGATACGCGAGTCGCGGAACTCGAGACGAATCGCTCCACTTTATGCAATTCGGAGACCGATGTTGTCGCAAAGGGTGTATGCTTTACGTTACAACTACCAATGGTTACACTTTGGGCTTGAGCACGTATTTCTGCTATCGGAGTAGAGCCCTGGGACCTGATTCCCCAATTTACAAGACTAACTTTCGCGAAACTGACCATTTCGTACACGGCTTTCATACATTGACCAACGATGTGACTTCGCAACAATGGCAGATTCTTCATGGGGAAAAAAAAAAAAACATCCAGATGAACTTGAGAGTCGGGTCCCTAAAATCTGAATTGCATTAAGACTGTCCCGTCGTTGTAACTTTGTCCGATAATTTTTGTTTATTTAAAAGCCTCAAACCTCCTACAGTTTACGAATTTACGTACTTGGAACGTCGAGGGTTCTAGGCATGAGCGTTCTCTGGGAGTTCTAATGCGTGTAGTTTATTAGAACTGTTCCGATTTCCTCTTCGTCAGGATTTAGGATTTCCAATGAGCGAACGTTTCAAGGGAATCTTGGGGTTCCTTTTGTTTTTTTTATTTTATTTTTTTCTGTTCTCTCCTGGGTGTGCTGGTTCCGTTTTAAGAAAGTGGCCACAAACGTTATCTGGGGTCAACCGACGCCGCCGAGTGGCCGGTTCTTTCACGTCCTTTCCGAGTAATCCCACTTCTGGCGAAGGAGGACTCATTGTCGGGAAGAGCTCGTTTTCGCGATCCCGCGGACTTCCGCTAAAAACTTCGGGACCGGAAACGAGCGGTCGTTGGGTTCTTGCCGGGGCAGCCGCCATTCCGCCGAGGAGGATTTTGCCCCCGAAGGTGCGCCAGGTGCGAAGGGAAAAACCGCAAGGTCGAGGGAAGTAGTTAGAGTCGACCAATCGGACTTCCTCGCGTTCTCGAATAATCGGTCCCTTGACCTTCCAGCGTTCCTCCTTTAGCGGAGTTCGCTCGATTTCACGCCCAAGGACGGGAAGACCAACTCGGGCTCGACCTTGAAAACCGAGCCGAGTTTTTCGTCCACCTCGCCGGAGGTGATCTAGACACCTGGCGATCGGGTTTACTCTCTTTTTCCCATTATCTACCGAAAATATCCTCCTCTCGTCTCTATGCCTTGGGCCTCGGTCCCTTGAATCGTGGCTTCTGCTACATACGAAATATTATCTAATAACGCCATGAAATTATTAATTTACCCGTTTGACCAGCAGGTGTTCTGTGAAAAATCTCGAGAAATGCCAAGCGCCGCGTTCGCGCTTCTCCTCCATGTCGAGGAAGTCCATAGGACACAATTGCGCTATTTTTTCCGATTATACTCAGTTTGGCACAATTTAGGTGGCGGTAAATTCACTCGTAAACAAAATCCAAATATGCAGTCGGGTCGAAACTACAGATCGCGACACTTTCAGGGATCCGATTCTCGAGTTCCTACAAACTTTTTCCGCGGATGAATCGATTCGCGTAAAAAAAGAAAAAAATGTACATCGTTGCGACGCCGCATCATGGGTCGACATTTGAAAGTCGCATACGGAACTGTCAATTTCGCATGTGAAAGTCGATCGTACGAGCTCGAGATTCGGGTCCCAGGCATTGAGCGGAAGCGCCATCGCTCCTTCTGGTATTCAATCGGTTACCGCAGTTTTGCTTTTTTTTCCCTCAAGTATATCACTTTTCGGAGTCCATGTCATTCCTCGTATCACCGGGAAAAAATACCACCTCACGGGGCTCGGGAGCCAAAAATGGGCCGCATTCCCCAGAGTGTAGGGCGACAAAAAGCCTCGAAGTCCGAAAACTCGAGCGACTCCGCCACGCCGAGGGCCGCTCGATTTCGACTTTAGAAACCGAGGCCGGCAATTGAATCGCCTTTCTTTTTCCTTTTTTTTTTCCCCCTCGCGTTATTAGTCAAAAGCGCCGCAGCCGGCAGGGGCAGGGAAGGGGTTCTTTCTTCGAAAGAATCGCCGGCCTGGCCCGGGGCCCATTGTGGCCGGGGCTCGTGCATTCCTCGGCTCGGGGAATAATGGCGCATCCCCTGGGCGGCGGAGGCCGCCGATAGAGGAGAAACAAAATGCAAATTGGCTGAATCCATGGACCTCCGCGAGGCGAGCGCCCTTTGTCCGCCGGGCAAGATCGACTCGCGCGTTCACGCATGCCACCCCCTTCCCGGCCCCTCCCTACCCGGCCAGGGAGGAACCAGGAGGAACCGGGAGGAACCGGGATCCCTGGACGCGTGCACGCACGCCTGGGAATTCCTCCTGGGAAGACCGACTCGTATTCCGGATGCATCCAACCCGAGTACGTGCGAAAGCTCTTGTCAATCTCGACACGATCGGTAATCGATGTCGCGAGGCGTCTCCGCGAATTCCGCGAGGGAATTCATCCGGCACGGAATTTTGTACCGTGGGGGGCTGCTAATATTTCCCAGGCTATCGAATGGTGGAAGGAAGACCGAGAGGTGATAATGGGATCGGATACCTTGGACCGTTGACAGTACTATTGAGGTTGGGGCGAAATTCACGGTGGGTATTGGGAGATTTCGATGCATGGTTGACGGGCTATGATCTTGGTAACGAATTGTATCTCCGCCCATGGTATTTATATTAAAAACCGCGCAGTGATAACGGGATCGGATCCTCATCTTCTTATCGGTGCTGTAGGGTTAGATCTAAACTCACGGTGGATGTTACACGGTTACGGAATGGGTTGCCGGTCTTGAGATCGATGCAAGTTGGGAACAAATGAATATTTTCCCTATCGATAGATTAACACTGGAACTACCAAACACCGTCAAAATGGCTGGTTTCAGATGCCCTGCCAAAGAGAAAAAAAAAAATACGAACCCTTAGTTCATTGTTAGTGCGTATGGGGTTATGCCCGAATTCATGCGGAAAGCTTCGAGAATGGAGTTGTCGATGCGAGGTGGTAACGATTGGGGGCCTTGGAATTATGGCGAAAAGTGAGGCCTCGGCTGAGGTATTTTACGGACTTGAAGATCGAGGAGATGAACCGAACGACCGGACGGGCTCGGCTATAAGAGGCGACTCGTATTCCGACGGCGTCGGAGCCGCGTACGTGCGAAATCCCCTTGTCAATTCCGACACGATCTGTAATCGATGTCGCTCGATTCCTCTCCACATTCCTTTCGCGAATTTACCTCGAGGTTTCGTGTCGCGACCGAGTTGTGAGATTTTGCCGGGCCTCTCCGCTATTCCGCGGAATTTAAGATTCGCGGGACGTAAACGTGGGTGGCGCGTATGGAGCGCGACACTTGTGCGAGGTCGACGATTGGTCGGCTGGGATTTTTGGCACCGCTAGACGATGAATTCACCGATACTAACGGGATCGATTGTCCTCGGACATCGAACATCGAATGCTTTTTAAAATCAAGCGACGCGGTAGAGTTTCGAGCAAGTACAAGCGCGGGCTTCAATCGAGCGCCGCGTCTCTTTACTCTAATCATGGCTTTCCTGGGAGCTCAATGTCCTTTAAACGATTAATCCCGGAGACTTTTTAATAACTATCGGCAAGTTTAGTAAATTTATTTCGCTCATACGGATCTAGTAATACCAACAGGGTCGATTGTCCTTGAACTTCGAATATCGAGTGCTCTTCAAAATCAAGCGACGCGGTGGAGTTTCGAGCAAGTACATACACGGGCTTCGATCGAGCGCCGCGTCTCTTTACTCTAACCATGGCTTTCCTGGGAGCTCAATGTCCTTTAAACGATTAATCCCGGAGACTTTTTAATAACTATCGGCAAGTATAATAATTTTCAATCGTTTATTATTTACACGGTACCTGGAAATTCCGTAATAATTACGTCCTTCTAAAGGAAGTTCGTTGTAGAGCCAGTGATACCGAGAAAAATGTAATATCGAATTTACTTGAAATCACCTTATCAACGTCATTTATGTCGGTCGGGATTTTTTTAAACGAATGGAGTGCTGTTTAATTATGTCATC